ATCTTTGGGGGTGCTTTGATTCAGTTTGGGGGTGCTGAAGCACCTCCAAAACTGGGCTAAAATCGCCCCTGTATAGGTTACAAGCAAGTCTGGCGCTGAACAGAAATTGTGGCGCTATGCTCATTTGTTTATTGTGCATAAATAGTGAATTGTCCTGACACAATATTGCGTTTCGCTTCTGTTATTACCATGGTACATTGACAAAAACATATACTTTTATTCACAGGATAAAACAGGTTTTTTTGTATCACTAATTGCCCAGTACGATTACGGCATACGGTATTATTGTCACTACTACATTTCTGTAATGCGAACCAGAAATTATTTCCACTACTAATTAATTACCGTTTAGCTTAAAGGTCCTATTAATAAACGGTTAACGAATGTGTATTTATGAAGACGATTTGTGAGACTGGTAAACTTATGATACGTACGATGGTCTTTCGTTCTACACGGTGCATTTCAAGGTCCTGTACCCATCTGTTGGTAAACTGTACCTGGGCTTGTTGCAGTGACCTGAAGTTACTAAACTTCATGAGTGTATGCACTCACTCCAAGAACCGTATGATTATAAATATGAGCGTGGTGAAAGTTGGGCAGCACGCTAACGTATTTTGTCCACTCTGTGTGCTCGTAAGGGTATAAACCTTTCACTCCTTTGATTTTTTTTCCTCGTATCTTTTCTTTGACTTTTCATCAAGTCTGTCTTTGTACGGACCGGCATTGTTATCCTTCGTTTTGTACATAACTTTTTTGGGGGGCAAAGAAAAAGCAAGAAGGTATTGGAAGCGGAGAATGAACGTTTTGCGGTGCTGCAAATGGTTGCATTTGATGCGGTACTTGGATTGTTTTGCCACGAGTTACCGGCATGCAATGCGCGAAAGTCACGTGGTCTGTCAATCTCTATAGCATTTTCATTAGATCAGTCAATGTCTGTTTTGCCATTAAGGTGACTGTAATGAAGGCAGGTTTTGTTGTTGACTGTTAGACTGCTCCTTCTGAAGGCCACGTCTAATTTTGTCACAATGTGGTTTTTACTGTACTTGTGAAAGTACAAAGAGCTTGCTTCAGCATTATACATGAAATAGTATCAGCTTATACAAGTCTTTGTGGTTTATACTAGGCTGAAACGAAGCTTTATAACATCTAAAGCATATTATACAGTCACCAGTGGCATCATTGTAACATTGTATGTGTAAAATTACATTGTCTGTCTTTACAACAGAGACTTTTCATAAGATTTCTTTTTTCAATTTGAAGCGACTTGCTTCTTTGGTTATCTCTAGGCCAGAATGTGCCTGCTCCGCTCACCTCTGCAATACCATGTATCACAGAAACTTGTATTTATACGCGCTGTTACTGCACAGGAAGCAGCTGCCGTATTCTCTTGAACAATAGCTGTCGTGACTTAGACAATACAGCTACATAAGGGCTAGTATAAGAGGACTATAGTCAAAACTAGAAGCGAGGACTTTGTAGTGTTTTTTTTTTTGTTTGGTTGATTGGTTTTTCTGCAAGTTTTAACAGTTTTAACTGTTTTAACATCTCCCTTTGCATATCTGTATATTCCTGTGCTCCCGTGCTGTATTATCATTAAAATGGTAGTAAAAACTGAAACAATTGTATACTCCTGTCTTCAGCCCAGCTGCGGAGGCCGCAGCACAACATGTGAGGTTAAAAAAATCGAGATGTGCACAATTAGCCAACACACCACAAAGATCGTGTTGTGCGACACATGAGACACCAAAATTGGTGTGCAAAGTTTCATGCTACCATCTGCACCTACCCAGCAATGAACACCCAGTTCTGCAGGCATTAAGTAGTAATTGTTTTTAAGCCGAGATGAGGAAACTTTAATAGCAAATAGTATAAACAACTGAAGTAGGGGGAAAAGAGAAATTCCAAGCAGTATTGAATGTGTACGTTACATAAGATGTGACTAATGAAAGGAAAATAAACTGAAGGAAAAATAATAAAAAATAAGAAAGATGGAAAACTTGGCCCCTACAATCACACTTTCTGTTGGATATGTATGCTGCATTTTGCTGGTATAGCTTTGGTCCACTTGTCCTTGAAGAGGAAGGGTCACTGCAGCTCAGATATTTTTGTTTATCTAGATAACATTTAACTTCTAGAAATTATGTAGTTAAAAGTTAGATGTTTTACTTGAACTTAACCATGTTCTACTTTTAGCTCCGACCACCATGATTGCAGCAGTAGGAAGGAAATATATTTTGGAATAATGTCTTTTATGCTTTAAGTAGTATTTTTTTTTTCATACCAGTTGCATCAAGAAATCACTTAAGTAGCAACTTACAACTTTTCTGACAAATTTAAGTAAATTAAAAGATCAATCTCAATCTAAAGAAACCTGTGATAACAAAGTTATTAACATTTATCAGTTTGGAAAGGGTTACAAAGCCATTTCTAAGGCTTTGCGACTCCAGTAAACCGCAGAGATTATTATTCACAATGGGAAAACCTAGAACACTGGTGAATCTTCCCAGGAGTGGCTGTGTGATGAATCACATCCACTCCTAAGAAGTCAGAAAGATCAATCAGAGAGTCCAAGTAAATGTCAGCAGTTGTTAAAATTGCTGTACTTGACATATGACATATCTGTGGGATGTTAATGATCTAAAACCTTTAAGTGTGACAAAAATGCAAGTTGGTGTATAATTGTTTATGTTTTGTTTTCTTTCCTTTTTAGGTTGGAACATGTGTTGTAGCAGAAGCAAACCCTCCAGCCACTATCAAGTGGAGAAAAAATGGACAACTTTTGAAAGATGATCAAAAATGTAATGCATTTCTTCCCTTACGGTCACCTGTAAACTATCCAGTCACACTGGGGAAGTTGCTGTCATAGAGATCCCTCTAGAGGGCATCATATTTATTCAAGAGAATAGCTAAAACGATATATGATAAAATTCATTGCTTACTTGTCAGAAGGACCACAGTAATACATTATAATTATTACATAAATGTTACATAATTTCCTTAGGGATTAATAAAGTATTCTGATTATGATTAATAGGAAAGTCCTTGACTTTCATTGTCTAAATCAAATCAATGTTGGAATAGTAACAGCTGACGAAATCTGTGTGTGTACATGTGTCTGGTGTGGTTGTCATCTTGCCTTTGCAGCTGTTGTGATCACTAACCACTTGAAGCTGGATCCTGACACAGGCCTATCCACCATGCTCTCCACCCTCCAATATGCAGCCACCAAAGAGGATGTTGATGCAATCTTTGCCTGTGAAGCCACACACACACTGATTAATCAGGAGACTGAGCTGGAACCTTTTCCCATTCACTGTGAGTGGAAGGCAGTGCTGACATCTGTCTGTATCACTGTACTACAACTATATGAAATCTGTTTTTTCCATCTTATCATATAGAGCTACATTGTCACAAAGTAATTTTAATACTTGTATGCTTAAGGTTTTTAGGGAATAAATGGCTAAAATGCTTTAATTGCTGTTAGATAAGATCCAATGAAAATTTTGGAAGAAATTCCGTAGTGTGTAAAACTGCATGCTTCAACTCATGCACCATGTTTTTTAAGAGATTCCCTTCAAAGGTGTGGAACAGGGGCTCTCTCACTGCAGCAGACCAAACTGTAAATTTTAAAATCTGACAAGAGGAAATGTAAAATTCTTTGCATTTCAGGGACGTTTTCTGTCTTAATATATATTTTTTATTAAATACACTACCAGTCAAAAGTTTTAGAACACTCCAATTTTTTCCAGTTATTTATCACAATGCAAGTCGATCAAGCCCAATTAAAATGGTAAAAAAAGGTAAGTAGAGAACTGCCAGAGGATAAAAAAATACATTATTTATTATTTAAATCGTTATATAATAGTACAATATAATGTAATGGTGGTCGTAGTAAGCAAGTCTCAGTTTCAACTGTGAAGAGAAGACTTCGAGCTGCAGGTTTGACTGGACGAGTTACAGCAAGAAAGCCATTGCTAAGACATCAGAATAAGACAAAGAGACTTGCCTGGGCCATGAAACACCACCATTGGACTACTGAAGACTGGAAGAAGGTATTATGGACCAATGAATCAGAATTTAAAATCTTCGGTTCATCATGCAGGATCTTTGTACGCCTTCGAATAGGTGAAAGGACTGTCAAACTGTCAAACATGGAGAAGGAAGTGTGATGGTCTGGGGCTGTTTTCCTGGATCCAGGTTCAGTGACTTGTACAGAGTGAGAGGCACCCTGAACCAAAACAGCTACCACAGCATTATGCAGTGCCATGAAATACCCTCTGGTATGCACCTAGTTGGTCAGCGGTTCATCCTACAGCAAGATAATGACCCAAAACTTAAGTCCAAGCTATGCCAGAACTACCTCAGGAAAACGAACCAGATGGTAAGCTTGAAAACATGGAGTGACCAGCACAGTCTACAGACTTAAACCCCATCAAGCTAGTTTGGGATGAACTGGACAGAAGGGTGAAAGCACAGCAACCTACAAGTGCCACACATTTATGGGAATGTCTGCAACAGATATGGAAAGAACTTTCTGAAGAATATTTGATTCTATTGTAGAAAGAATGCCACTGGTCTGTTCAGCTGTTATATGTGCCAAAGGTGGCTACTTTTATGACTCCAAAGTTAGAATATATTTTGGTCTATAAATTGATTCCATGATTTCTTTTTCCACTAAAATTGTTTAGTTTTACTATGCTTTCATTTCAGCGTGCAATGAGACATTAAACTGCATAATAAAAATTTAAAAAATTTAAAAAATGGGGTTTTCTAAAACTTTTGACCAGTGTATAGCTGCCATGTTCATATTACTTTCAGTTTAGCCACAGATTAATCCTAATTACTGAATTTCTCACCTCTCCTGTCTTTTCTGTTACTGGAATGTTAGATTAGATGGAAGGGGGCTGTTGGATAATTAAGTCCTTGCTGGGACTACATCATGGGAGAATTTTATATTTGTGAATTGCTTTCAATTCATACCTATCGCTCAGTAGATAAAGTACTGATCAGTCATATAATAATAACAATAATAATAATAATTTTATTTTATACCAATTAAATGAGTTGAGCCAGTTTGAGAGTTATCTATTCGTCAGTTGGAGGTGTCTTTGAATAATATTTCATATTTACAGATCCATCGGAGCAGGTTACTCTCCAGATTATGTCACAGCCGCCCATTATAGAAGGAGATAATGTGACACTAAAGTGTACTGCTGATGGCAACCCTCCACCTAGATCCTTCTTTTTTCATATTAAGGTGAGCCAGATCCCATTGTTTATCTTGCAGATGAGTAAAAATGTTTCTTGATCCACCAAACGGTCAAAAGAGACTTGGCACTTATGTTCGCGTAGAACACAAGATTTTCAGGTTTTGGTGGTCAGAGGACCTCCCAAAACGTGATGATCTCAGGTGGAGTTTTGGTTAGATCATTTTTTGACCACATGTAATAACTGATGATGCCACATTATTTACCCACTTGATAAATTCAAATTTAGAGCTTTTACTGGTGTTATAAAAATCTTGACAGACATAAATGTAAACTGCAGCTTGACTGGTTGACACATATTGTACTTAATGCATGCTTAATATGCAGTCACTGACCACTTTATCACATCTTTTCAGCTACTTATTAAGACTAATAACTAATCAGCTAATTTTACAGCAGCAACCTAATGTATTTAAGCATGTAGTTATGATCAAGACGACTTGCTCATGTTTAAACCGAGCGTCAACATGGGGAAGAAAGATGGTTAAAAAGTGTCCTTGAATGTGGCGTTTGATGGTGCCAAAAAGGCTGGTCTAAGTAGTTCAGCAGCACTGTAATTTTCCCACAAAGCCATCCCTAGAATTTACAGAGGATGGTCTAAAAAAGAGAAAGTACACAGTGAGCAACAAATGGCAGCAAATGTCTGTGTGAAGATTCTGTGTTGATACCACAGGTTAGAGGATGGCCAGAATGCTTCAAGCTGATAGAAGGCAACAGAAACTCAAATAACCACTTATTGTAACCAATGTGCAATGCAAAAGAGCATTTCTGAAAGTGCAACACTACAAACCTTGAAACAGAACAGTATCAACTGTTCAGGCTAGTTGTGGTGGCATAATAGGGGGATATTGTCTTGGTACACTTTTGGCCCCTTAATAGCAAATTGAGCATCTTTCAAATGCCACAGCCTAGTTGAGTATTTTTGCACACTATGGCCATTCCTTTATGATGATTAAGGCTTTTCTGTGGTCCAACCTGATACTGTCAAGGTCCAACTAATGAAGTGCCCCGTGAGTGTATGTGGTACTTCTAGTTATTCTTGTCTTTTTGTCTGGTTTTTTTTTTTTACTAATGGTATTTTTCTTAACTCCTGCTCTTCACCAGGGCACGAAAGTGCTGGTTGAAAATTCGGACAACTACACTGTAACTGCCATCAACAGAAAGGATACGGGTGAATACAAATGCTCACTGGTTGACAACGAGAAAGTGGAGGCCTCCCAGAACATTGTTGTTAGTTGTGAGTACTTATGACATAACCAGAGCTAAAGCATACTATAACATAACAAAGGACCAAGGACAAATGACTGTGGCAGAACAAACAAAATATAATGTTTCCCACCTGGAGTGAACATTTTTTAATTCCTGTTTATAACAAGGCACTTTTATTCACGGTAAATGAAGTCATACGAGCAGAATAATGGTAATCAGATTTAAATTTTTAGAACTCAGCATGGCAGGGAGACAGTGTGTAGTATCAGGCAGAGAGCAGGAGAACTAACTGGAAATTTCTGACAATGAGTAAGCAAAAGTGGCAAAGGGCAAGGACCTCAGACATGAATAAAACAACATCTATACATGAGCAAAATTCATGTTGGCCTGACTAGCTAGTTGGCAGGCACCAAGGAGCATTTACTGATGCTTTCGGGTTGTGTTTTTTTTAACTATGTTTCCAGCTAAAATAATATCCATAAATTTAAAATATTCAGAGGTACAAATTAGCTTAATCTACAGACATACTTAATCATCACTGATTAATTACACTGAATGAGTATGAATATGTTATTCTAGTGTTATTATTGTATCATTATTATTATCCTATTATTACCCCACACACCCAGCCATCCATGTGATGCAAAAGAAAATATGAATCATCAGATCTGGCCACCTTCTTCCTTTGCTCCATTGTCCATTTCTGATGCTCACGTGCCCATTGTTGGTGCTTTAGGCGGTGGACATAACCCTAACTGGTTTAGAACCAGAATGAAGTTTTTCAGCAGTTTGGGCTATAGTAGCTTGTCTGCTGGACAAGCTACATGGATTAGTCTTTGCTCCCCACGTGCATCAGTACTCCTTGGCCACATTTGACCCTGTTGCTGGCTCACCACGATTCCTTTCTTGGAACACTTTTGATAGATACAGACCCTTGCAGATCAAGAACACCGTTGTGGAGATGCTTTGACCTAGTTGTCTAAGATCACACTGTGGCCTTTGTCAAACTCACTCAAATCCTTATGCTTGCCCATTTTTCCTGCTTCTAACACAAATTTGAGGTGTTCACTTTCCCCCTAATATATCCCGCCCACTAACAGGTGCCACTGTTATGCATGTCACCTGTTAGTAGACAGAATGTTTTGATCAGTATATCTGCTGTTCAGTAATAAGCAATTTGTCTACGGTGTGGCCAGATCGATTTGTATTTGTTAGTCAATGATTTATCAGACATCTTTGACAACAATGATAGTGCTCATAGAAGAGATAAAAGCTGAGCCCCCAGCAGAGGATTGTCAGACATTGTGATATCAAAGTTTGTCACTGGGACCTACAGTTTTCATGTGGCAACAGTCTGTTTCTGGGCATCTGAGCAGTGATTTGTGATGTGTCTTGAGCAGCAGCAATTTCCAATCTACACAATTTTCTCAATTTTCATGTTTATAGAGTTTATTATACTGAGGTGTAAAAACAGCCACAGCTGAAGTTTTTGGTGCCGTTTTAACATTGTCCTCTATGGGCAAGGTGGATGGGGGAGGCTGCGCTTCGGTGACATTTCTTAGAGAGAACCATAAATCTTATCTCAGTGAGGATGACACTGGATGAAAGAGGACAACAGTTTTTCAGACTATTCTCCAGCCTCAGTCTTTACAGTTGGTAACGTCAACATGCAGTAGTGGGAACATTCTGTTTACTGTTACTGTTTGAAAACCGTAAAAGATATCAAAACACTGAGTAATACCTGAAAAGTTAAAGGTCTTGGGGCCCATTAAAAGTTTTGCGTTTTTCTCTAGCTCAAAGTATGCTGAAGTAGTTAAGTTTCAATGTAGGGTGAGTTTGAAGAGGATTTGATTAAAAAAAAAAAAATCATAAGAAGTTTAAAAGTTACAAAAAAAAGTAACAGCACACCTCACCAGAGGAAGCTGAACATTTTGGTATCAGAACTTTATTTGTAGCACAAAGTATGTGGAAGTAGTTAAGTGCCAAAAATGTGCAGCAGGATAACAATCATGTGAATGCTTAAGAGAAAGTTGGCAAATGGCGACACGGTGAATGAATACTGTGAATATAATTAGAAGGTGAATAAATTGAGAGTGTGTTTTGGATAGCACAGGATGATTACACTGTGAAATAGACGTCATCTATAAGTTTTCAGAAAACAGGTAACAGGAACAGAAAATGACACTTTACCGCAGTGAGAGCCAACACACTGAATCAATGGCAGTTTTTTCCTTTAACCTAGAATGGCCAAAATGAATGAAACACTGTGCTATCACACTAAAGAACAACAAGTGCTTTACCGTGATAAAACAATAAATAAACAGTAAAGAAATACAATTTTAAAAATTAACAGAATTGAACTTACTTGACTCTTTTTTTTTTTTTTCCTGTTGTATGTGTTGCCAGACCTGGACCTAAGTCTGAGTCCCACTGGAGAGGTTGTGAAGAACGTTGGGGAAACCCTGTCTGTGAAGATAGAGAAGAGTACCTCAGGTGATGCTAAAGAGTTATGGAAAAAGGTAAGGACTGTGTGAATACATTGTTTTTCAGAAAAGAGGCATTTAAAATATTAAAGTAAATGAAATTGTTTGCAAGAAAAGAAGACATTTTCTAACTGCGTCTTTGTGTAATATGGCTGTATAAACTCCATGTTAGCTTCATGATATTGAATTTCCACTTAAGCTAACATTCCTGTGACCTTGAACAAGAGCAGTGGCTAAAGAGTAGAGAACTATTTGACATCATCTGATTTACATATCTATTACCTGTCCTTGGTAGGGCCACATGCAAAGGCAGCTGAATAAGTAAAACTTAACCAAATTTGGTGATAAGCAAATGTATATTTTGCTGTTTCACTTACATTAGAGTTAAAGGTCCAGATTATTAAAACATTGACTGTATGTGATGCTGCTTTGCAGAATGGAAAGATGGTGAAGAGACCAGAGTTTAGTAATTTGACCTTTGCCGATGCTGGAGACTACGTCTGTGAAGTTTCACTGACTGGTCTGACACGACGTCAGAGCTTTCAACTAGTCATAGAAGGTGAGGAAGAATGCAGTCTTCACACACATTGATACTTGGCAGGACCACTTGGCTTCATATTTTAATACACAATACTGGGGTCGCTGTAACTCAGGTCACCTACTAACTGGAGGGTTGGTGGTTCGATCCCAGTCTGCTGTTGATGTTATTGTCACTGAACTTATAGCCTTGAGGCTTCTTTCATAAATTCTCTTGAACTTTATACCCGATGCACCTTCACTGTAAGATTTACAAGGGCATAACAACTCAACAATGTTTAGTTTGGTTGTCTGAAAAAAAACCTATATGTTGTAATATTTTGTAAATTCAATGATGTTGCATGGTCTGATGCCAAAGATAATAATGTAAAAAAGAAAAATAATGTGCTTGTATCAGGAAAGCCTCGGATCACCAGCCTTACTAAATATCGTGCTGCTGATGGCAAAGACACAGTCCTAACCTGTGAAGCTGAAGGAGTACCAAAACCCCAGTTCCAGTGGAGCATCAATAACCCAATAAAGGTAAGTGTTGTCATTGTGTTTTAGTACCTTAAGCACATGTCCAGTTAGACAGTGGAGAGGGTATCAGAGGGTGGGTCGATCCCTGGCTGCTCCAGTGTATGCAGCTGTAAGATAAAAAGGAATAGAAAAATAGCATGTATGAACTCCTACCAGAATGATTTTGCTGGATGGGTTTACTGTCAGATTTATTTATATAGCACATTTCCAAAAGCTTGTGCTGCACAAAGTGCTTTACAAACTAAAAAGGAACTAAATAAGGCACATGAATTGACAACAATGATAGTGTTTTCTATTAAAGCAAACAAAAAATTGTTCAAGTAACATGTGCTAGAAGCCAGTCCAAAAAAATGTGTCTTCAGTAGAGATTTAAAATTTTCCAGTGTTTGTGAGTCTGGGACCTGCCACAGAGAAGTCTCTGTTGCTACAAGATTTAAGTTGTAGCAACAGATAAACCTTGAAGTGGATAACATGTAGTCGAAACACGTTCAGAGACATTAGTTGGAAGGTATGGCTTTACCTTGGCTAGCTGTCTGAGATGGGTAAAGCTACTTGACTAGTGACTACTGCACTCAACTGTCTACACAGTTTAAAGAAACCATGAAAGTACACATCAAGGTTTTTAACATTTGTCTTACAATGAGCAGATAAAGGGCCCAGAGTACTGTCAATATTTACTAACAGAGATGCCAAAAATAACCATTTCTGTTTGGTTTTCATTTAGTTTTAAAAGATTTAAGGACATCCACTTTTAGCGTCTTTAAGGCAATTAGTCTCTTCAAGTCATCTGCAAAACAGTAAAATAAAAGGTTATACTATGAAAAAATAGACCCCAGTGACAACATACACAGTCAAACAAGGCTGGACCCAAAATTGACCCTTAATTCACCCATAATTAAGAGGGGCTATTTTGAGCCATGTTCATATAAAAGGTCCTTCCAAATAAGTATGACTGAAACAACTGAAGAACAGATCCTTTAAGGAGGATATCATGGTCAACTGTGTCAAAGGCTGCTGCCAGGTCCAACCACAAGAGGGCAGCAGGGCTGCCAGATTCCACAGTTAATAGAATATCATTAAAAACCCCTAAAAGTGCTGTCTCAGTGCCGTGTAGTAATCTAAAACCAGATTGAAAAATTTCAGAGATCCCATTAAGATGAAGGTGTGCCTGCAACTGTGAGTAGACCTATTTCTCTAAAACTTTTGAAAGAAAGGGGTGCTTTGAAATTGGCCTGTAGTTAGCCAGAACAGTTGGGCCCAGACTGTGTTTTTTAAAAAGGGGCTCACCTATAGCCTCTTTAAAACATGATAGGGAACAACCTGTAACAAGGCCAGTGTTAATTAATCTCTGGATATAAAGGCCAGGAATATCAAAAATATTTTTAGTACACTTAAAAATTTATTTAAAATGTCAGAAAATCCTTGATGCTTTCACAGCTTAAGTTAATTATCCCAGGATCAAGAAATGCGACACAAAATTGACACACTATTAAACCATTAGGTGCTCGTCTTTTAGGTGCTGATCAAACTTAAGAAAAGTTCTGGTCATAAAATCTGAAAACTCTTGGATAAAGTGCTTATAATTGTGCAAAGGCACAGGACTATTCAGGTGTAGCTCAAAAAGCTGGAGTTCGAAACTTGAGAATGAATAATCCTGCACTGCTTTATGGCAACGAAAATGGGTGTTGAACACTGTAGCTAAACCAGCACCACTAGGTCTGAGGGAGGCTGAAGAATGAGCTGGAGGAGCTGGGGGCTCTTCAACTGGCAGGGAGGTTGTTCCATCCTTGCAGGAGTCCACTCTGCAGGTGGGGGAGAGACATAGGAGAGGTGGAGAATAAACTTAACCTGGGTGTCTGTTGTCTTGTGTAGTCTGGGAGATGATTGAATGTTGGGGTGAGTACAGTTTCCTCTGCGGTTATCTCACAACTTAGACATCCACATTACTTACACTCTCATAACACACACAAATATATAGGGCCTTGAGGGTGGGCACGTTAACGGCGTCCAGTGGACGGTCTGTGTATTCAAACCTACCTCTGGCACCGGTGCCCACCTCTCAATTTTAAATCCATGTAGACATTGAGGGTTCTCGGGAGGGGCCGTGCTAACACCTGCTGCTCTCTGGCAGCAGCACCATGCTCTCCCTTGTTGGGAGGTATGGGGTCTTCACACACCCCCATTCTCTATTAGCCATCGGGGCGGGGGGGCTAGGAGGAGATGTTGGCTGTCCGATTGGCCTCCCTGCTGCTGCGGAGCCTGGGACGGTTTGCTTGCCTCCACCCCGGAGGGAAGGGTAACATCTCTTGGGTCTGGGTGCCGTTTCCCCCTCGGGGGGCGAGGGTACCTGGACCCGGGGTATAGAGTATGTTTGGGGAGTGTTATTGTGTACATGTCCATTTATGTCTTTCCTTACGTTGGGTGAGTGCTGAGTGTTTATATATGTGTGCATGAGGGTGGGAATGCATGTTTGTGTCTGTGTGTGCCTGTTTGTCTGTGTCTATATGTCAGGTCGGGTCTTAGACTCCACCTCTCTGAGAACTCCCAAGCCCTCCAAGTGTGGAGGCCTATCTCCCCTCACCACACTCCCTGCCGGTGACTGATGCCCCCAGGGGTCGGTGAATTGGTGGTTCTTGGTGTCCGGGGCTGGGCGCTCAGGTATGTACCAGCTCACTTCTGGTGGCTACTTGGCGGGGCCTGGCGCCTGTTGCTCGGTCAGGCCTTTTCTGGGGCGTGGGGGATCTCTAGGGGCAACAGGGAGGATCCATCTAATAGTGTACTCATCTGGTCTAGTTCCATTAGAAGCACAGAGATGAGCCCTGATTCTGGCGAGTGTACTAGCCAGCTTTTCCCGTTTCCTTGGGCGCTTCTTCCAGTGTGTAGCATAAGGACATGAGGATCCTAGGACATTTTGAGATATTATATATTGAAAGGAAGAGAACTAACATCATGACACCATTATGCAACTGACAAAGAACATAGAAAATATCCTGTAGAATAGTTAAGCCAATACAATGTGTGTCCTGTGTGCCTTCAGGAGGAGAGCTCCTACATCAATGGCAAAGTGATTCATAAAATCACCATAGTCCCCAAGGAGAACTTGACTGTCACTTGCAACGTCAGTAACCGCCTGGGACAACATGCCGAGACAATCAGTGTTTCCTCTGGTAAGTTAATGCTGTGAACTACTTAGTGGGTTGGCTTTATTTTATACAGACGTGAGGAGTGAGAGAAGTGTCATAATTCTGTGCAGTGGATAACTAAAGTCAAACAGGTTTGAACAGGCATCTTCTCAATATCTTTTAAATTCCAGTACTGTAATGCTGCTTGAAGAGAATCAATTAGTCTGTACTAGCCTAATTAGGCAGCATTTATGATCCAATACCAGCTAAAATTCAAGCTGGTCCTGATCTCTTACTGATGTGTGATGTGCTTCTTAATCAAAAGTAGTGTATTTCAAACTATACCTTTGTAATGAATACAAGACATCAGATTTAATGTTCTTATTGTCTAATTATGAAGCTATATCTATATACAAGAAATAAAAGACCTGAAAAGTCAATAGATATATTCAAGAAAATATTCGATTAACAATCAAAAACAAATATGATTGATTGGAAAATATTAATACAGCTTTATTTAAATGTAAATTTCTACAAGTTATTTAGATCTGTTATCAACTGTAGTTATTTGCTGATTTAAACTACTACAGAATGTGTTTATATAAAACTTGCCATTCAATTAGTGGAAAAATCTTTGATTTCCTATTACTTAATTTGACTTTCTTGAAATTATGTTTATTTCACAAAAAATACATAAGAAATTATACATAATTGCAAATTTAACTGCTCGATGTGGGTTCTGTGATTATGCCTGGGCCTGGGAACCATGCCCAGGCATTATCAGGAATGTGTTTTAAACATGTACATGAAACACAAAATTTATAAATGCTAATTTACACCATTGAGACCTGCTCTAAAAATAAACTGACTAGATGTAACACTATCTGTGAAGCTATGGTCACAAGTTTTAGAACAACCTCATTTTTCTAGTTACTTATTGCAATTCAAGTCGTTCAAGTCCAAAGAATAGTGTGAAATGGTACAAAAGTAAGTGGTGAACTGCCAGAGGTTAAAAAAAAGGTAAGGTTACCCTATACTGATTAATAATGTACATTCCACACTTATAAATAGAATATAAAATATATATATAAAAAAGGTCAGTCTGCAGAAAAAACAGCTATGCTACTGTCTGTAACACAACAGAAATTATCTGGTGGGGACGTGGAGAGAGGCAGTGACTGAATCCTTTATGAAACTGCTATATTAATCCACTTTTTCCAACTCATCCAATTTAGGGTCAAGGGGGTCCTTGTCACATGTATTATAGGGCAAAGGGTAAACAGGTGTCCAGTCAATCACAGAAAGAGAGACAACTATTCATGCCTATGGCCAGTTTAAAATAGCAAATTAACTATCCCATCACTTTTGGCTATGGCAGAAGGATTTGAATTCAGGGCCTACATGCTATGAGGCAACAGTGCTAACTGCGGCAGTGCTAACTACTGCACTGTGTTGCTGGTTATATTATGAGATGCCTATTCTTTTCTATTCATTATTCCCTTAATATATAATGCATCTTTAGGCTTTAGTGCTTTGGTGTTATGAAATGCAACATTCCACTGTGCACTGCCATTATTGCCGTCTTGCAATCTAAACAGATTGTTTCATGTCACTAAAGTAAATGTGAACAAATCTCAGAATTATAAGCATTGCATAAAACAGTAGACCTAGCTGATAAAATTGCATTGCTTGAGCAAAGAGGATCTCTGTAGTTCAAGAATCATTGTGAATATGCTAAGGAAGACACATTATGTAGTTTTATCACAGCTCAACTTGTTTGTGTGTGCATGTGATCGTATGTGTGGGAATATGATCATTTTAAGCTGAAGCTGTTTGGTGCTGTGTTTACAGGATCTCGAGAAGATCAGGACCAAGCAAAGCTCATAGGGGGTGTTGTGGCAGGGCTCGTCCTAGTTGGTATTATAGTGGGACTCATCTGCTGGCTCGGCAGTAAGAAATCAAGGTATTGCCCACAGTGCAGTGACTCACAGGGCAGGGTCAAAGTCATTCTGTAGGTGCATCATAATTGTATATTCCTATTTTCACCACAGACAAGGAACCTGGAAAACAAAGGAGGAGATGAATAGATCTCATGAAAACGAGAAACTAAAGCCCAGTGACTGTGTTTAAAAGGCACTAGCTGAAGAGGTAAGCATTTGGTTGTGGAAAGCACATGTGCAGTCAGTTTTAAAGGTAAATGGTTAAATTAAAACCTAGTACAATTCCATTCCATGTCTCATTTCTTTAGATTTCTCTAAGTTTGGCCATCTGCCCTATCATTTTATCATAGGAGGTGGATGATGGACAAATAGCTTTTGAAAATTTCCCAAGTGCTGCTAAACTGAGCAAGGAATTTTAAACAGGCTTTTGCAAACACCCTAGTTTTATTTTGGATGCTTACATATTTTACTTTTCATGAAAGCGAGAAACTACCTGGGTCAAAATTATTAGCCTCCCTTATGTTCATAGTTAGGTCCTTTCTGACTGCTAACACCATGCAGTCATTTGTAGTTTTCACCAAGTCTCACACATGTCTCCTGAGCAATCCCAGGCTGTTCTGCTTTGAATTTCTCAAGCTCCTCCACATTTGATGTTCTTACATAGCGGACCTTGGTTCAGACTTTTAATGGGATTCAAGTAGCAGCTTTGTGCAGGCTAGACAGAAACATTCGCTTTGGTCTTCTGGATGTAGTTCTTCAGTAGGAGCGACGTACGTTTTCAGTCGTTGTTGTGTTAGAAAAAAAACAATGACCAGGACCCAGTTTTGCTACTGACTGCTTTAGGTTTCTTTCAAAATGTTAACATATCCCTCTCTCTTGAAAAATGAAATTTTCAATCTCAATGAGATTTTTTTTACCTAGATAAATAAAGGACTAATAAAATAAAAATTCCTAATGATCCTTCCACCTTGATAAGATTAGCAGTTTTGTTTACATTATCAAGGACAAAGGATTATAGATCCACTGCACAGCCAACTCTATTAAGAACTATGTGCTTGCTATGTGGTCTTGTATACATGTTCAGAGGTTTATATGTGAAGACCTATTCACACGGGTTAGTTGCTGTATCCCACCCTCCCAAGGTGTGTGTCATAGGTGACATAAGTGAATTAGATATGGAATAAAATACATCATATATAGTCCTTACTGTCTTTTGCATCGCTAAGAAACTGTCCTTGTGAACTGGGAAAAAAAACCAAACTTTACAAATGAACTTACAGACTACTTTAAGAGTACAGTTTAGAGTTAAATATTCAGTCTGTTACTGTTCTTATTGTCTTTCCTTAGGGATTAATAAATTAATCTGATTGCCTGTTCTGATTGGAGAAACACATTGGAGAAAATATCTGCTTCCTCAAAAACAATTAATCCCTAAGGACATTATGTGGTTACAGTGTCTTCAAGAAAATTAGACTGCATTAAATTAAATAATACAATATATTACAAAGTTATGAGAAATAGCTCTAATGTATACACATAGCTCAATTATAAATATCCAGAAAATTACAAAGAATTATACATGTCAATTAATATAGATTGACATTTTATTTTCTTATTTTCACTGTAAAGAAAACGCATGTAACTATTGCACTGTGTACTGTGAATTAGATGGAGTCGCCGCTCAGTGGATTTGGGTAATCTCAGTCCCTCACTGAACATGCTCCTCTCTGACACTGCCTTAAGGGAGTCTGGAGAGACAAATGTTGCAGGTTTTTATTGCTGGACATGGTGCTTACTGGCTCCAAGGCAGCTACCTGGGCATGGTTGCTGGCCTGCTCCCTTTAGGGTTGTGGTCTGCGGTGCCCTCTTCGTGTTGCACTGGGGGCTCATTTAAAAAAATAAAAATTAATAAAGTTACAATATTTACAATACATACTGAAAAATAACTAATCTAGCTCTTCTAGATGCAGAAACCTTGGTCACACAACAATGCATATATCACAGCAGTGGCTTGTGCTATGGCTCAATAAAACTTTTTTTTTAATCAGGAAGGATTAATCATACTGACCTTAGTAATTTCTTTCTAAAATATTGCTGCTGTTGTGTGCCAATAGAAATACTTTCTTTTCTCAAGAAACTATTATTTTTAGAATTGCTATGTTGGTATGTTTGTAGTTTAGATCTTGGTTCTAAATGTTTCTCTGACTGCTGAGTAGTTACAAAAAAAAGAGACTGAACTGATCAGAAGCGTTTGAATATTTGTTTGCTTTCAGAGGTTAGATCTGATTCAGCAAAACAAAATACTTATATAAATCTGGATTTGCTGAATCAGACCTCAGTCCATCCTTGTGATATGTTAAATTCAATTCAGTTTAAGTACTAACTAAAATAAATTGATATAATATTAAATATATATTTAATATTCCCTGTAAAAATATTACATTCAGATGAGTAAGCACTTTTGCAAAAGTGGGAAGGAAAAACTCCCTTTTAACAAGAAGGCATCTCCGGCAGAACCAGGCTCATGGAGGGGCGGTCTGCCATGATTGGTTGTGTCTCATATTGGAACTTCTGGTTTAGATAGCTCTACGTCTGTGAGTCATTGTCCACAATAGGGATTTAAATCAAATCCGTTCACTGTTGTGCTCTCTAAGACTGTGAGTTTGGAAAAAGTGTTGGTAGCATTAGCATCCTCCTGTGCCTAAGTGAGAAAAAGAGTGACAGGAAAGCTGCAGTAAAGAAATGATGTCTTACTGTTGTCTGTGTAAATCGGTTGGATATTCTTCTGTCAACTAAGCTTCTGTGTGTAAGCTTCTACTTTTTTTGTGGATCTGTGCAGACAAATATAAATTTTGATGTACCTCTACATCATTTGCAGTCATCATTACTAAAATACATGTTCATCATATTTCAGTTTTGGCTGGCTTGACACGTTTCTCCCATTACTTTAGGTTATTGCTGCACGACACTACCAACTGGTCATCTGCTGTGAGCTTGAAACTTTGTTTATACTATAAAACTATTTGTTTCTGCCTACTTTTGTTTGAACAATTGAATTCTGACAACCAGCCCAACACCAACAGAACACCTGTTGGTGTCCTTCTGCTCTATGGATTTCTCCTTTGGTTGCTACCTACCCATAAATGGTTTCAGAAGGATTCCACTAAAGAGACCAGCTACAATCGACTAGCTCTGGATCTTTTTCAGCTCAGCCAGAAAATGGAAAGTTGGATTTCCATCCTTTACCAAAGATGGGAGAATGAACTGCTGCTGGACTCCCTGGAAAACCCCACCCTGTGTCAACCCACCAATACTTCTGTCACTCCCTGCAATTGTTCATCTGTCAAAACAAAAACACAAATTAATTCATCAATAAGCGGCATGTCAGCACAGCTGATACATTCATCAGGGAATTTTCAAAGTGTACATTACCATTCCTGTTATCCTGTGATGAAATGATGGACAACTTCTCTAATACAATTGCTCAAGTTATTGAGACTATTGCTCCTGTAAAAACTATTAATATATATGGTCCACCAAAAGCACCCTGGAAAAATAGTGAAAGATGGCGAAAAACACTGCAGGAGAGTTGAGAGAAAATAAACTACAAATTAATTAATTTAGAAATCTATAAAAATGCGTTATACTGCTAGAATAATTAAATTAACCAGAAAATCCTATGTCTCCCAAGTGATCAACGATAACCAGTCTAATTCTGCTTTTTTTCCCCATCCACTGATGAAGTATTTTATCCCTCCAAAACCATGCTAACTGAATTCCCTTCAGTAAATGAGTGTGATGAAATTAAATCATTTTCTAAATATGATAAACAGCTCTCTCCACTCTGGCAAGCAAGTGTTCTGGTGACAGTGGAAAGGAAAAACTACCTTTTAACATTCAGAAACCTCCAGCCGAACCAGGCTCAGGGAGGGGCGACCATCTGCCAGAACTGGTTGGGGGTGAAGGGAGGAGACAGGATAAATGCTATGAAGAGAGTCAGAAATTACTAATAACTAAAAATTAAATGCAGAGTTGTGTATTAACACACAGTGAATAAAAAAGGTGACTGAAGAGGAAACACTATGTGCATAATGGGAATTCCCCAGCAACCTAGACCTATTGCAGTCTGAGGCCTCAGATCCAGCCCTAACTATATGCTTTACAAAAAGGAAAGTTTGAAGCCTAATCTTAAAAGTAGAGATAGCATCTGTCTCCTGAATCCAAACTGGAAGCTGGCTCCATAGAAGAGGGGCCTGAAAACTGAAGGCTCTGCCTTTCATTCTACTTTTAAATACTCTAAGAACCACATCCACAGTCTGAAGGCCATTATACACTGAATGTGCTGCATAAAAACAACAGAAAATTCAGGTTTTTCTGGATCCAAATTTGTTGTGGAACCTTGGCATAATTTTGGATAGTGATCTCAATTTTGATAATGCCATGAATAAGGTTACTATTCATGTGATTACTTAATTATTCTATTACTTCACAAAGCTCTCAGTGGTTTGGGCATCCAGTATATCTCTAACCCAGTCAGACCTCTTAGGTCACCAGGTTCAGATCATTTAACTGTTTCCAGAATCAGATCTGAGTATGCTTAAGGTGCTTTTAGGTACTGGGGTCCTCTTTTTTGGAACAAGCTACCTGCTCACCTGATCAGTTACATCTGTGTGTAAATTCAAAATAAGACTTAATCATTGTAGGCCTGTGTAAATAAAGAGGTTTTAAGTCTTATTTTGTTTTGCTTCATTCAGTTTTGTTTTATTCTGTTTAGCCAATTTATTTATTTATTTTTTTACTGTGTGAAGGCATTGTAAACCTACTGTTTAATGTGTCCTTATTTTCTGTATTAAGCAAATAGTTTACGTAATGAAATGTAGCAGCCTGGGATTGCACCATAAGTCTTCCAATTAGGAGATGACCTACTTCTACAGACACCCCAAAGTATGCTTTTAGTTTGAATAAGCCTATTTTTTGCAGACTTGGATCCAACTGGGTCTTGGCTCAAATCAGAACAGATTTGGACTGAAGGTGGGGACAGCAACTGAACACTGGAGGGGGAAAAGATGAGAACTACAGCCAAATGCAGCCTCAGAATTCACTGCCTGGCTAGACCCAGCTCACTCATCTTGCATGTACTTCCTTATTTTTTTTTTCTTTTTCTATGTGTATAATTATTTTTATTTTCATTTAGTTCAGTTATTTATATTTAATTATATATTTTCCCATTTGAAGTGAACTAGCAAGTAAGAATTTCATTGCTGAGCGTAACCACTGTTTTCCAGTGTATGTGACAATAAACTATTAATTCTTGATGGAGGAGGATTTTAACTTGTTTAACTGACTGACTTGACTTCTTCTGGCTTTGCAGATTTCAGTCCATCTTCTTGTAGTGCCGTTCCATGTAATGTCAGTTTTCTTCCCACATCTTTGGAGATTTGAAAGTTGACATTGCACCACAAATCACTTGCCCTATACCCCTTGTTTTTGTTCAAAACCAGGATACAAAATGAACAATAAATCCGTGAAGAAGCCATTAAAAGTCTTTATTTTTTACAATTACTTTGAATAATTATTATGTTTTAAGGCTGTAAAACCCCTCACTACACACTTTATACGCTTTTCTCAGATAGGCATGAACATTTTCACATTTTTCTCTCTTGTTTAAACACTCTCAGTTCAAACCTTTGTAGAAAAATAAGTCCAGTATTATAGAATGAAACCAGGGGCAATTCTAGGATCAGAGCTGTTCCTTCCTGGAATAAACAAACATACATATCCTAACCTTAATTACTGGGGGAGGATAATGAATGATGCTCATAGTGAGTAAAAAGTGCATGACTGAGTGCATTTTTATGGACAGAGATTCACTTTTAATGTGTATGTATATTAAAATAAAAATACATAACAAATACACCGCAAAAATAGAAGAGTCTTCGAACTGTACAAATGTACAAAATATTAATTAAAAAATGTATAAAATGGAGGCAACTTTGCCTATCGTACAATGTACAGCTCCTCATTCTACCAGGGCACTGTTTGGCATTTTCTGAGAGTGCGCAAATGTGGTGCATGTACTGCAGCAGTCATACAGACAACTAGATGGTCCAAAAGTTGGCCTACCTATTATTGGCTGTATATTCATTTTAATCTCCCCAATCAATGACAATGTTATGTTGGAATGTTGTTAAAGAGGTTCAAAAAATGTTTCAACAAGGCAGAACAGAACTTCCAGATTATATGAGTAAAATTAGGTTGTTTTTTTTTCTTTGTCAGTTTAACAGTTTCTGTTTTGCCTGTCACTATTCCCTGTCTGTTTTCTGGCCTGGTTCTTCCAGACCTTGTACTTTCTCCACACGTTTCCCTCTTTCCTCTCTCCTTCTTTGGACTGACAATCATACACAAATAGATTGTATTCAATTAGATGAAAAAATTACATTAATATGAAAAAAATACTATTAAGATCAATAATAAAAAAGTCCTCTCTCAGTGTACTTTCAACCAAAAGGCAAATAACCGTGGTTGCGTGTACAGCTAATAAAAGATATGAATATTGAAACACTGTTCCAACATTATTCTTGATTGACGGATCATTTGATCTTACACTTTTACCTGAATGTGGCTCCTTTTTTTGAAAAAACTTCCTTATATCCATTATATCCACACAAACACACACACACACACACACACACACACAACAGGAGTTATAAGGTTAATGGGACTTATAAGGTTATAAGTCAGTTAGCTAGTTAGTACCTTGGGTTTAATATCGGCACATGCATATGTGCATATATATTAAACCCAAGGTACTATACTCTCTATGGAATGAGAGAAGCCGGTTATTTTGTCATATGTGCATATGACAAAATAACTGGCTTCTCTCATTCCATTTCAAACAGGACAGTGGTAACAACCAGGCGGAGCCAGACATTTTATACACCTGGGGCTTAGCCCTAAAGTTTATATAACTATTTAGCCTTGTTGTGCAAACAAGCCTGCATAACTTAATAAATATAGAATTTGAAAAATAACAAACCTAAAAAGATACTAGATACATATTTTGATGAGTTTTGGCAAACAACCACTTGACTAACATGTCTGTCTCACCTTGTTCTATCTCTGTTCTGTCCTCATTATCCTCTCCATCCCCCTCTCTGTTCCTCTCTCTCCCTCTCTCTCCCTCTTTGTGCTAACAAGCCAAACACCAACATCATCAAATATACAGTTGAAACCAGATATTTACATACTCTTCAGATAAAAACCCAAACACGTTTTTAATTGTAAAACATCAAATCAGACTAAATGTTTATTTTTTTGATTGATAAATATAAAAAACGTATTTGTTAAATTTAACAATAAAGAGAGAAATTGTATGCATTTCTTAATTGCAAATGGCACCCAAATTGTATTCAAAATTAAGCCACACTTATGGAGGTCCACAATTCTTTTCCTGGTGTTTTGGTTGATATCTCTTGATTTTCTCATGTCAAAGAAACAGGCTCTGTATTTTTGGGGTGCCTTTACTCAAATGGACTCAACTTACCTGTCAGAAGCTTCTTAAGCTTAGAATGTAATCGTCTGGAGTTTTCTTATTAATTGAAGTTTTTCTTATTAATTAAAAACACAATAAACTTAGTGTATATATACTCCTAAATTTATTTCAATATTTATTTATCTAAAACAAAAACGTTTACTCTAAATTGATGTTTAACAGTAAAAGAAATTTCTTGTTTTTCCCTAAAGTGCATGTAAGTATCTGGTTTCAACTGTGAATATACTGCTGTGTACTGAAATTCCTCTTGTTTCGCATAGATTGTTTTTGTATTTGTATGTTGTTCAATATATTATTGAACAACATACAAAGCATAATATAATAAAATAACATTTACCTGAGTTTTCTCTTTGAAATAAGCTCCTTATGTCCATTGTTGTGTATATCAGCACATAACTGAAACCGATTTGGAGTGCTTTATTTAGCCGTGGAGGGAGCAACTGAAAATATAAAACACACATGTAAGCTAAGACTCTCTAAAAAAACAGCATTGTTGTTCGGCTTTTCATTTCGCCACTTGTTGGTTCACTCGAAGAGCAAGTAACGAAATATGGGGCAAGTGATCAGTTTGATATCAATCTTTTGTGATGCACCGTTATATTTACATTGTTTGTATAGTACGAATGATTTGCTTTGGTACCTTGTCAAACTAAAGCTCTCCTCTGTCTGCCTGTCTGCACTTCTCCAACAAACTCGCAGTCAGCAGCTTCTCCCCCCTCGCTCACATGCGTAAATGCTGTGCTCAGTCGCCTAGTGTCCGAGCTCAGATCATACCAAAAATAGGGGGAATTTACAACGTGCGCTATGTGCTTCGAATATTGTGTGTAGTTTTTGTTTTTTACAGTTGTCAGTCAGGCATCTAACTTAGTGAGAGACTATCTCTCCCCACCGTTACATATTCCATATGTACAGGGTATGACCCCCCTTGGTCGTGGTGTGTGGGTACTTCTTTAAGACACTCCGGCTCGCCCAGCCACGCTCCACAGCTCACGTATAAAACAGCTGTGCAGACATGACACCGATGATAGTTTGATAGGAACATGTCTCCAAGCGGCGTGACGGTGGAGAGATAGCCACTCACTAAGAGAACCAAGGTTACACCATAACCGTATGTTCTCTAGCACATCGAGACTATCTCTCCACACCGTTACATATTCCATATGTATGGGGTAACTCTGTAAGACACCCGGCGAGGACAAAGTGCAACCGAACCGCCAAGAGTGAAGGTGCCGGGAGTCAATGACAACACACCAATAGACACACCACCCTGGTCAGGGCTTCGCAGATGCGAAGGCCTACGACATGCGGGCAATGCCAGACAGAGAGTCGGCGCTATAGGCTGGAGAACTCTCACCCACCACAGTGAGGTCCAACTGGCGTGTAAGCCGGCAAAGCGGGCAATACGCCAGGGGAACACAGCCAGCATCCGCAGGACAAGCTAGGGATGTGACCTGTCCATCCTCAAAGCCGAAGCCGCCCCAAGCTGTTGACAGACAAGCTGGGGGCTGGCAGCCTAGCCTGCTGAAGTGGGGGGCCATCACCACGTGCTTTTCGGCAGACAGAGGAGCCTCAAGGGTGAACTCACAAACGAGACGCTAGAGGTCAGACACAAATCCCCAGCTCACTGGGCGTTCCCGTGCTGGCCGTGTAAGCATGACACACAGGCAAAGCACCAGACAGGGAGCCAGCATAGCAGGCTGGGGAGCTCTCACTCACTGGCCAAAGTGTCAGACACAGCGAGGTCTGACAAGCGCATGTGGTTAGAGCGATGGAAACGCCAGAAGCACGGGCGGTCGGCTAGGACGAGCCCGTGTGCACGCTCACCAAGGATCCCCAGCCCAAACCTGGAAACCTGGAATCCCAGGAGCAGAGTGAGGAGAGGAAGCGTAGCTCACCGAGCCGCTGAGTGGGGACCCCACTGGCCGCGCAACCCAGCAAGAGGCGGGCAACGCCAGACAGGAAGTAACCCTCACGCCCCTGTTAGGGCATGCTGCCCTGCCCGGGGAAGGCCCGAAGGGGCAACAAGGGATCAGGGGTGGGGCTATCGGGGGAGGAGCCAAAGACACCTACTCCCGCCAGCATGGCAGCAACCATCTGTGGGCAGGGGACCACAAATGCTGGGAGGGCACTCAACTGCCTGCCACCAGACCTATCATGAAGGAGCGGCACCTGAGAGGGGCTGAGGCCGCGTGACATCAACCTCGAGGTCCACTCTACTAGATGGGACCTCAGGAAGGGCTAGTTCCCACACCCGGCATGCTCCAATCAAGAGCTGAAGGGACCCATCTCGCCCAACTCTGTGCCTGGGGACCAGCAGGGGCAGCCCAGGGACAGGTGGGCAACACCGGAGGAGAGGATGGAAGTTTCTTCAACATCCGCCACCTGATCGTCAACCTCCACCGGCCCAGGCCTCACAGAGGCGGAGCCATGGGAGGGACACTGTGGGAGGGGCCAACAGTGAATCAGCAACAGGTGTGGGAAGGGACCCAGCCCATGGCCTGCCTATCTGGTGTCCACAGCAGTGGCAGCCATTGTCCCCATAGTATCCTGCTTTCTTTTTTTGGGAGGCATGAGATGGGGGAGGGCGGGCCATTTAAATGCTTTCAGAAAACCAAGCATGGTCTCCCTAGTTTGTGCTGGCAACAAAGCAGTCCATGCAAGCGTCAACTTCTCTAGCCAGCACAGCATGCTCTGGGCTGTTATAGTTTAGTTATTTATTTCCCTTTTCGCTCAGGCACAGCAACACTGCTTGTGCCTATCGTCAAATGGCAAAAATGCCATACAGAGACATGTTTGGGACGTGTGGGCTGCCATACTTCTGCTACCAAGCAAAGGGGCAGGGCCACATGCTAACCAAGAAGTGCTAACAGCTGGCCGGCACCAGCCGCAACCTGAATTCCCCTTTCACTTTATTCGCTTCTGCGTCACAGTGCTGACAGGTGACAGCGTATGCTTGGAACTCTGACACCTTTCCTCAATGTAGCCAAGCTATGAGTGGAGCCCTGCTGGCCGCGTTAACCCGCGAGCTGCGGGCGATACGCCAGACAGGCTAACAGACTGGAATTCCTATTACCAGCCGGCTAATGGTTAACCGGCACAAACTGTAGCCTAATTCCCCCTTCCACTGTTTATTCCCCACAGTCTTAAGCAGGGCGACAGCGAACACTTGGAACGCTGAAGCTGTATCCCCTCTGTGTTTACATACATCCCAGCCGAGCTGCAAAGTAGGGGTGGGTTTTGATAATGGATTTATCGATTAAAATCAATTCTGGCTTTGATAACGTGATATTGATTCATTTAAATCCTGAATCGATTTTTTTAATATTAATTTATTTATACGAAACGCCAGAATCTCAGGTTAAACCTCACAAAATCTGCTGTGATGCTTACACCTTTGATAAAGTCTGGAAAGTGTCAGCTTCCTTTTTATAGATACAAAAATATGTAAATGTACTGATCTGAATTATAATATTTCTGACTGTCTGAGGCAAAATTTCCCAGATTTAAATTGAATCGAATCGTGGATCAAATCGATTCGGGACCTTGTGAATCGGAATCGAATCGATTCTAGAAATCAGTGACAATACCCAGCCCTACTGCAAAGTACCCAGGCGACAGCGTATGCATGAACGCTGAAGCCGTGCCCCTGCTGTGTTTGCTCACCTAGCCGCTGTGACAAACCATCCTACTTTGGCAAAACGTCCTACCGTAAGTAGTTTATGCACATTTCTGCTGTCACAGAGTAATTCCAGGACAAATTTAAGTATGTATGATGGTTTGCCACTTAACTTTGCCCATCAGAGTATGCTTGTAGCTCATATTCATAAAGCCAGGACGGTTTGCCACTTCATTTTACCCGTTAAAGTATGCTTGTAGGTAACATTCACAAAGGTAGCATGGTTTGGCACTTAATTTTACACATCAGCTTATGTTTCTAGCTCTTATTAACAAAGGTAGGATGATTGGCCACTGAATTTTGGTTGTTAAAGTATGCTTCTAGCTCATATTCACAATGGTAGGATGGTTCACCACTGAATTTTAGCTATTAAAGTATTCTTCTAGCTCAGATTAACAAAGGTAGGACGATTTGCCACTTAATTTTAGCTGTTAAAGTATGCTTCTAGGTAACATTCACAAAGGTAGGATGGTTTGGCACTTAATATTACCCGTCAGAGTATTTTTCTAGCTAATATTCACAAAGGTAGGACGGTTTGCCACTTAATTTTGTGTTGTGCGCATGTGCAGAAAGAACGGGTAGGATGGTTTGCCAGTTTTGATGGATTCCCAGAACACCGGCAGCTGCACAGCGTGGTCTGACCGGCGAATATGGCTATTTTTCGAGGCAATAAGCCGGGGAAGGGAGACCAACCAAGGGGAAAGCTAAGGGCCAGCTAAGGGGTATCCCCTTAGGGGAATACCAGGGGAGAGGCAGCGCCCACGGAAGCTGCCGAAACAGGCTCTTAACGGACGCAAAAAGGCCAACATTGTAACATCACTGTTACTTTACCCTGGGTAAACTTTATACTCAGCACTCTCAAGTAGTGATGTGTGAATCATGAATGAATCGTTCAATACTCGAGAATCACTTTACTGACTCGTAAACAAGCCCAACTGACTCATTCACTGACTCATCCCTGTTGCTGTTAGCAAACTAATTTCATTAGTAGAAATATATCTAGCTTATAATTAAAATTGTGATGTGGGGGGGGGCAACAGCCAGTTTCCTAACAGAAACATTTCTGCTCTGAACTGGAAGAAAAAACCCCGAGTAGAAAGCTCACATCAAGACAATAGCTCCTCAGTTCACAGTGGCATCGCTCTGCTAACTTGCTAACAACACATTATGAGTTACTCACCCCCTCCCTTACTGTGTGAAATCGTAGAGTAAGCGAATCCGGTCATTAAGTGATGACGTGACGAATCCTACTTCCGAGCCTAAAGTAGTCTGCGTTTAATATGGCTTTTGTGTTGTTAACATGTTTAATGTTTTGTATTTTCTTCTATTTAATCTCAAAAAGTTCCTAAAAAAGTCAGTGATCACTGTTGACCTCCCTCGGCTTTTATTACCACTAATCATTTATTTAAGCTCCATTTTTAAAACCTTAGGATGTAACTACAGCCCATGCAGCAGTATATGAATGACTAACCTCATATTGTGGATGGATTATCTCAGTTGTTCTCCTATGGAATCAGAACGATGCCACCTTGAAACGAAACCGAAAAAAATATTGAAACCGAAAAAAAATATTGTAACTGAAATAAATGTACTGAAAAATCTTGAATTGAAACCGAAAAAAAAATTGATAGTGAAAAACAATTAATTGAAACTGTAATTTTTTTGTTTTCGCTTACAATTTTTTTTTTCAGTTTCAATCCATTTTTTTTTTTCGGTTTCAATCCATTTTTCGGTTTCAACCCATTTTTTTCGGTTTCAATCCATTTTTTGATTTCAAACCATTTTTCAGTTTCACTCTGCTGGCACTGTTTTGGTGTCCGGGGGCGCGCTGGGAGGGCGGGGATTCCGACCCGCATGTATTTGCATATATTTCTGTGAAGGTTCTCAGTCTCATATATTATAATGCTGACCAATGACTGGAGAAAACACTGACGACGCGGCTGCGGTCACGGACAAACGTGTCTGTTCGGGAATGGCAGATGCTGAGAGGTCCAGCGTTTACATTACCGACTATTTCAAAGTGACAGCCTGAGGTGTTCTTCAGTAAATTGGACTACCGGACAGGAGGACCTGAGGCCCCACCGCATTATTTTTGGTAAGTTAAATGTGTTTGTAAGCTAATCCGTAATTTAGGTAACTAGCTAAGATGAGCACTCGGCTGTCGGGGAAACTTGTTTTGTAAAGTTCGTTTAGCTAACCCGTGCAGGTGAATGAATTTACCCTGACTAAAGAAATCAAGAGAAACGCACCGGGCTGCTCAGTGACTAACCACGGTTACTGTACTTTTATTATGAGTATTATACTGTAAGAGCAACAGGCTGGACTCTGCTTCTGCTCCTGTGCAGAGCTGATTATTAAATATGTGCAAACAGCAGCATGTTTTCTGTCGCTTTCCACATGTGGAACGACATTAACGCCATTTTAAAAACCTGGCACTTCAGTAACCCCTCATTAGTCAATTGCTACGGATTAAATAGCAAAGCCCGATACTTATGTACTGAAACCAACTACTTCCGCTTGTCAGCTTAAGTTAAAATGTTACATTTTTCCACTGATTATTTTTTTAGCATTTTTTTACTGAGTTTGTTACAAATATTCAGGTTAAAAACTGTCCGAATTATTTTTAATGAATTATGTTCACAAAGTCACATGTGCAGTACTCTGTACAGCTTGCATCCTTTAGGACAAATAATTTGAAGCATTAATATTTCTTGTTCAATACTGAGCTGATAACACCTCTGTATGTTGTGACCAGGATGCAGCAGCAGACTGAACCTCGACTGAAACCTGCTCCATCATCTCATCTTTGCAGATGTCCATTTATAAAGCATCAACAACTCAAAGGTAAACATCATATTAGAAAATGTGTTAGTATATAAGGCCTTTAAAACAAATAAAAAATAAACGGCTGTCGGCAGAACTGTAGGACTGAACAACTTTAGATTCCGAGTGTGTGAGGACAGAGAAGGATCAGCTCTATTTCAGATTTGAGAGATAAACTTTATATTTCAGTTTGTGATGATTCTGTTCTGTTTGTGATTACAGGAGCCGTCCTCAGATTCAGACCTCAGCACCACCCAGTGACAGCAGACAGATCATCCTATATCTTCAATCTTTGTAGTAAATCCAAAATTAACTGAAGAAAACAGTACAAAGGTTAAAGTACCACATGTGCTGTCAGTGAAAGCTGCAGCTGTTTTATTGATAAATTTAAAGACAAAAAGTCAAAAGGATTAATCACCCCTTTAACTGTGTCACTATACATCAGCATTAACAGTACCTCAGTTTGGTGTTTCAGAAAACTGCTGATCTCAGACCTGCACAACTTCTGTTTTAAACACTGAATGTACTCAGCTATATGAAGAGCACATGATGTTTTCTCTGACACAATTAAATAAAACCTGATTAAAGTCAAAGGTTGTTACTTGTATTTGAACTAAAAACTTGTGATCTGGAATTCTTTCACTGTTTTTTGACAATAGTGTGTTATTTATCATAAAGTAATTCAGAGTCATTCATACCAGAGTAACCAGAGAGCACAACATATATTTAACTTTCTACAGGACTTAAAGCTATTACTATAGCTTATAGCTATAGCTATTACTTAACTGCACTACTGTATAGTTCTGTGTAAATAATCATTCTGTACATACGATAATTTTTAATCCTACAACTGTTTATAACTTGCATAGTTCACATTTCTGTATAACTGTATATCTCAGATTTCTGTATAGTTTATTTCATATTTATATCCTGTTCATAGCTTGTACTCACTACAGCCTGTACATACTTATAGAATATTCATAACATACTTCATACAGTGTACATTATAACACACCATAATAGACCCATTTCTGTAATATACTTACATATCTATATTATTGCTAATATATATTGTAATATATCTATATCATGGCTAAAGCACTTCTGGATGGATGAAAACTGCATTTCGTTGCCCTGTACCTGTGCATGTGCAATGACAATAAAGTTGAATTCTATTCTATTCTATTCTATTATGCAAAAGTCCAGACCCTCTGAGGATTATCTGAGTACTTCTAACATTACACAAAGCAAAGGTCTCCATCAGTGTTCATGAAATGCTGGGTTTATCCTTCTTGTGAGGGAGCTGCTGGTGAAGATCACGAGCCCTGCTTGATCCCGGCGATGAGTTTCAGTCTTCCTGGTGTTTCTGAAATTATGCCTCTCACTGTGGGTCAACAGAACATCTGGCACAGGACAGCTGTAATGGAAGAAATTGAAGAAGTTTTGAAAAAAAAATTCTTGGAAATGCCCTATATGTGAGAAGCAGATTTTGTATTTACTTTTCTTTTGCCAATCAAGATAACTAAAAGTGTAATTTTCACCATACAATTACTAACCTTGTCATCTCCTGCACTGTCTGTTTTGGGCTCTGGGCTTGTCCTTCCCAGC